GCCCTGATCGACCCCGTCGACGTCACCCAGTACGCCCCAGAGTCCCCGCGCTACCCCTCCGCCACGTCAGCGCTGGCGGCCCTGGACCGCTTCCTGCCGCTCGCCGTCGTGGGCGGCAGCCTGGGGGGCGCGTGCGCGCCGATAGAGTCCAACTATGCCCGGTTCTTCGCGGCGGCGCCCTCGGCCTCGTGGCTGGTGGAGGTGCGTTTGCGGATGCATGCTGATATGTGTGCAGAGCCGTGGTGGTGCGCGCGCGCGCATGCAACCGTAAACGTACGTTGCGCGCATGTGAGTACGGGCGCGCGCGCGCGCGTGTGTGTGCATGCTTGTTGTTGTTGTTGGTCATGGTGTGTGTGTGTCTCCATGCGCGCACACATGTACGTGAATGCCAGTCCTGGACCTCACGACCCCCAGGCTCAACCCCCACCGCACCCCTCTCCTCCGTGCGTGCAGGTGAGGGGCGCGGGCCACTTTGCTGTTCTGGACGACGCCAACGCGCTGCAGCGCTTCGTGTGCACGCAGAGCGAGCCGCCCGTGCGCGACGCGAGCGTGCGCGCCCTGAGTCAGGGGGTCCTCATCTCGCTCTGCGAGGCGGTGATGCGGCCCGGCGGCGCAGACGTGCTCACCCTGCTGCGGCGGCGCTGCGGCGGCGCGGACGGCGGCGCGGACGCGTCGGCGTGGGTGCCGGCGGGCATGGCAGGGCAGCAGCACCAGCAGCAGCAGCAGCAGCAGCAGCAGCAGCAGCAGTATCACCAGCAGCAGCCGCACGGGGCCCAGCCGCCGACGTGGGCGACGCAGCGGCGGCCGCCGCCGGCGTACCTGCCCCCCGGCCCCCTGCCCCCGCCGACGCTGCAGCCCTGGGAGGCTGGCGGCGCGCTGCGGGGCCAGCTGGAGCGCGCGGTGGGGCAGCTGCGCTACCAGTGCTCTGTGCAGCAGGGGGCGCTGCTGGACATGACCGTTCGCTTCAAGGGCTTTGGGGCGGACGCGCCGGGCGGCGGCAGAGGGTGACGCCGCTGGAGGTCCCTGGGATACAGTGCGAGAGGGGTGCTTCTTTCAAACTCGATGTTGCTGCCGCGCCCATGGCACGTTGTTGAACTCACTGCATGTGCTGGCACGCCGATTTCTGAGCTGTGATGCTCTGTCGTTGCTTTCAAGGCCCCCCAAGACCGTATGGTCGTTGGCTCAATGTGTAAAGCACTCTTGGATTGCTGCGAGCCATGCCGACTATCCCTTCGCTGCACAGGCCACGTACGGCCGGGCCGCTGCGCACGCTCCCCTGCCCCGCCCTTGTGGCCACAAGCATGGCCGACAGCCCGAGGCGGCGCGCCCTGCCTGCTACGGCCACGCCCCTCTGCTGTGCTGGCGGTCAAGGGGTCCTGCAGCGTAGATCGCCGGCTGCTCGGTTGTGTTTACATGGCCAGGTTCAATGAGGCCAGGGTTCAAGCACAAGTGATTGCAGGGGGGCTGTGGAACGGCACCTGCGGCTCGCAGGGCGGAGGAAGCTACCAGGCAACGCCAAAGTCTGCGTGCAGAGGCGCAGCAGAGAGGGCGGGGGTGGGTGCGGCAGAGGAAGGGTCAGCAAGGGGGATTCAGCAATCCAAAACCAGGGGGGTGATGAGAGCGGGTGTGACGGTGCACCAGCCAGCAAGGAGCATCCAAAAACTTTGGGGGGGGGGGCAATGGTGAGGAGCCAAGGCATGCTAGGGTGCTGCTTCCTCTCACTGGCGGCGCGCTGCCCAGGCTACTGCCGCACCCCGCTCACCCTCAGCGTTCGGGGGCATGTCTGCGGTTGGGCGGGTTGTGGCGAGGTGCAAGCACGTTGAGGGGACGTGAAGTGGAGACACTCGGCAGCGATGCCATACCGCCCGAGCACCCTGATCACACCCTCTAGCTGCCTGCCTCCCCGGCAAACATCACCGCCTGCAAGAGCAGAGCACAGGCGCCCGCGCAGGCCCAGACCAGCCCGCGCGGCCCAGCCGCTGCCCTAAAAGGGCCGGCGCCCCCCCCCCCCATGCGCCGCGGCCGTCGGCGCACCGTCGCTGTCGCTGTCGTCGGCGGGCAGCAGGCCCTTCGCCCGGAGGTAGGCGAAGCAGGCGTTCTGGGCCGCGTCGCGCATCTTCAGGGGGAAGCGGTCCTTCTCGGCGTCGCCCTCAGCCACCAGGCGCACCAGCTGCGGCAAGAAAGAAGGGGGGAGGGCGGACGCGGCTCGGCACGGTGCGAAAATGGCCACGGCCGACAGTGGTGGGGCGGCTGAGGCGCAGGCTGGGAGCGATCGACCGCTGGTGCCGCCCCGCAGCCGGCGTTTGTGTGCGCAGGCGTGCTG